CAGCCTCCCGAGTAGCTGGACTACAGGCGTGCGTCACCGCACTGGCAAGAACAACTTCTAAAGCAAGCTTTCTATTCCCCCTACCAGAAGGGACAAATAATTACATTTAAATTTTCTCTTGTACAGAATATGATAAATTATCTTAACCCTCTATCTGAACCTCATTCCTGACTCAATTTGTTGGCTAGAGGTAATATGGTAAAGTAGATATCTTCAAAACTCTCTAAGTAAATGTGTAATAAAATGAACCAAATCTCATCATCAATGAGAAATGACCAAATATAAAGACCATACAATGGAAACTTCTGAAGTCAGCCTTTGCCCTAAATCTGAGGTAATCATTCTTTGCAAAATCAATTTTCAAAGTGTTAGGTCTGACCAAATAATCAAATCAATAACCCCTTCCCTGGGAAACTGACCTTTATTGATTTCAGAGAGGGAGAGGAAGAGAAAGCTAGAAGCATCAATGATGAGAGAGGATCATTGATTGGCTGCCTCCTGCATGCACCCTACCAGGGATAGAGCCCACAACCTGGGCATTGCCCTTGACAAGAATTGAACCCAGAACCCTTCAGTCTACAGGCCGATGCTGTATCCACTGAGCCAAATCCGCTAGGGTGGAAACTGACCTTTAGATCATTTCGCAACCGACATTCCCTTTCACTTAGATCACATTCCATTTGCTAAGATCAGTATCTTTCCCCTCTGGACTTGCCCAAAATCCAGCCAGAAAAAGCCTGCCTGGAGTCCTTTAAAATCTCTGACTCCCAGTCCATGGGTGCTGCCGCCATTTTGGGGCTCAGCCCATCTGGTCTCCAGATGACCTAATAAATTTATAATCCCTTACCACTTTGGCCTGATGCATTTCTCCTTCGGCGACCCTAATATTTGGTGCCGAAAACCCAGGGGGTCCCACGGAGAAGGGGAGCCATCACCCAGGCTGCAGTCACCCAGAGTTTGCTACTCAGAGAGCAGTAGGCAGCGGCTGCTCGACCTGGGCTTACCTCCAAATCCTACTCGGGTGACATGATCGTCAGCCTCAATTAGGCCTCCCTCACTTATAGCCCTCCCGAACCAGGCGAGGAGGATGCGGGATGGGGAACCCTCCTTCCCATTGCTGATCCCCCCTTCCCTGCACTCAACACCAGCTCATTTCATCTCCGGTAAATAACAATTAGATCACCCTTTGGATTTCTGATTTGCTGTTTTCCGTCTCAGGCAAAGGTCCCACAGTCTTCCTCACCTCGGGAACGCCCGCCACACGGATCAGACTGTCTTCCTCTCTCTCTGGAGCCCCAGTAGCCGGTGGGGACGCCCTCCTGGCTTCCCGGGTCTCCCTTTGTGGCTTACATCCTCTTCCTAATTACACCATGGGGAACTGTTTTTCTGTCCCCCCTCCTCCCAAAAAACACTTCTCTGGGATGTCTCCTCCGTAATCTTAACACACTCGGCCTTTCCACGGAGGTCTCACGAAAGCACCTTATCTTCTATTGTAATACTGCCTGGCCACAATATAAATTAGACAGTGACTCACTGGCCCGAGAATGGAACTTTCGATTTTAAGTCTCTGGGACTTAGACAATTTCTGTCACCGCAATGGGAAATGGTCAGAGATCCCCTACACTCCGCAATCATCCTTCTCTCTGTCAAACTTGCTCTACTTATCAAGTCCTACTTCTCCACTCAAAGCCCCTTTCTGCTGGACCTTTCCACCCTGAGGCTTCTGATCCTTCCTTCTCCGACCAGTCAGGTCGCTCAAACCCTCCCTTGGACCCTTCCCATCACCTGCTTCTCTGTTCCCCTATGGGTCCCCCGAATCCACCTTATGTCCCTCCTCCGACTGCCCCGCTGTCTTCGGACTCCATCTCTTTGTCCACCTCCTCAGCCTTCTTACCGAGCCCCCTTCTGACTCATTCCAAGGTAACCCAGCCTCCAGCTCCCGTCCTACCCCCCCGAGAGGTAGCCTGAGTACTGTCTGAGTACACATTTTCCATGTCCAACCTCGCACAGATTGAGAGATGTCTTGGGTCTTTTTCCACTGACCTGACCACCTTTAATAAGGAATTTGGGTACCTGACCCCACCCTATGACCTGACCTGGCACAACATCTACGTCATCCTGTCCTCTCTAACCCCAGAGGAGGAGGAGCACCTCTGGCTAGCAGCTCAGGACTATGCCGATGCCCTCCATAGACAGGACGCGGCGGCAAACCACGCTGGTGCTGATGCGGTCCCCTAAACTGACCCAAGATGGAACTATCAGGTCAATTCTCCAGGGCGCCGGCTCCGTATCCATGATCACCTGTTTCATTGCCAGACTTAAAAAGGCTGCCTATAAGGCAGTCAACTATGACAAACTTAACAAGATCACTCAAGGTTCTGACAAAAACCCAGCTCTCTTCCTCTCCCGTCTCACAGAGGCCTTGCAGAAATTACCACCTTAGACCCCACCTTCCCAGAGGGAACCCTTCTTCTGAACACCCATTTTATATTGCAATCAGCCCCTGACATACACCACAAGCCTTGAAAAATAGACACAGATCCACAAACCCTTCAAAGAGACCTCGTAACCTGGCCTTCAAAGTCAAAACAAAGACAAGATCAGACCAAGACTGAGGCCAGAAGGAGGCCTTTCAGCTCCTAGCCACTACTCTCACAACCCCAAACGAAGTGCTGGTCCTCCAACCAAGGGAGGGGCTAAGCCTCCTCCGGGCCAATGCTTCAAATGCGACACAGGGCCAAGTCCTGCCCAAACCTGAGACCCTCACCTGGGCCCCGTCCAAGGTGTGGAAGGGAAGGCCACTGCAGATCAGACTACAGTCTGGCCTCTCCAGGTCAGACCTCAGCCAGTCCAGCAAAGCCGCCCTCTGGATCTCCTGGGAATGGCCACCAAAGACTGAAGCTGCCCAGGCCCTGATAGGGCCTCACAGACTTACATCACTAGGACAGAGCCTCAGGTAATGATTGTGGTGGCAGGTAAGCCGATCTCCTTTTTAATTGACACCAGGGCCACTTATTCTGCCCTCCCCAAATTCACTGGGACCCTTGTCCTCTCCTCAGTCTCGGTTATGGGGGTTGACAGATTAGTCTCACAGCCATTAACGACCTCACCTCTACACTGCATCTTACTAAATACCCGCTTTATCCCCTCTTTTCTCATTCTATCCCAGTGCCCAACAGGGCTACCATGCATCCCCCCCATAAAGCCCAGTTGTCCCAAACCACAGTCACCTACCTCATTCCACTCTCACCCCACAAAGTTGAACCATTATCTTAGGCCATAAACGCCTTATCTCCTCCATGACTATCCCCTCCTCTAGACAAAATATAGTTTCCTTTCTCGGGCTCACTGGGTACTTTCTCATCTGGGTTCCCAACTTTGGTCTTCTCGCAAGGCCCCTCTATGATGCGTGAGGAAGGGACCACACACTGAGCCTTTAGATCCCAAGGCCAGCATTCTCATCCCCTTTAATGCTCTAAAAAACTGCTCTCACCTCAGAGCCTTCTCATCCCCCCTTTCCAAAGAACAACTTTCTTTACTGTAAAACTGCAAACACTTACTTAACAGTCTTGCTACTATCAGAAGCTGAACTCATTATCACCAGAACCTTAGCATGTTATCTCTAAGGAAAATGTGGCAGTTTTAAACCCAAGTAGCTGGCGGCCTGGAAACTACAGTCCTAGAACAGGCTGTGGTGCCTGCTTGTCCCCCATCCCCGCCCCACCTTTTCTCCAGCCTCATATGCCTATACATAATTTTCCAAAGTCTTTGGTAACTTAAAAGCTTTGAAGCATTGCTGGGTTAAATGACATACATCTAAATATAGCAAGTTTTAAGTTCACCTGATTTTACCTTTTGTTAAAGAAAATCCATAAAGTAGATTTGGAACTGTTAATGTAAATGTGCTTTGTTAAAGGTGTGTTTCTTGAAAGTGAGTGTGTTCATAAATGTCAATCTAAGAAATGCTGGTTGTTTACTTTTTGGTTATCATTGGAGAATTAAGGTTTCTAAGAGTTAAGAATTATAATTAAATTGGAAAGAAATTGTATGGGTTTGGTAATAGAAGGCATGAGGCATAGATACGCATTATAAAGGAAAAAGAAAGTACGTTAAAATTGTAAGAAAGTTTGTGAAAGTTGTAAAAAGGTTTATAAAAATTATAGAAGGTTTGTAGGGAGAAATGTTAAAGGGAAGTAATATAAATGACACAGGCCAGTAAGCCAGGACAAGCAGAATAGGGAAACTGAGATAATTAAACAGCAGTTTGCATCCATCTAGAAAATCTAGATGCCAAGCAATCTGCAATCATCTAGTAAATCCTATCTTCCCTAAACCAAGGACAGTTAAGACATTTACGGTTTGACCCTAGCCGTTTTGGCTCAGTGGATACAGCATCAGCCTGCAGACCGAAGGGTTCGATTCCAGTCAAGAGCATGTACTTCGTTTGCAGGCTCAATCCCAGGCCACAAGTCCGGGCTATGCAGGAGGCAACCAATGGATATCTCTCTCTCACATCAATGTTTCCCTCTCTCTAAAAATCAATGGGAATATATCCTCTGGTGAGGATTAACAACAACAAAGAAAGAGTAAATAATTTGCATTTTTCCTCCCCAACCACAGGGTTAATAGCTTAAATCAACCTATTCAGGGAGACAGATAGTAGAAATCCAATTAGTGCCATTTGCCAACCACACCCAAATACAAATAAAGTTAAGAGAATAAACCTTATTTTGGTATATTAAAACAGTTTAATAAATTATGAATTTTTCTCCCTACCTTATCCCTCTAGAATTTGGCAATTCTTAATGAGTGAATCATGGCAATACGCTTCTTTGCATGAATTCAATAAGACCACTTTCCAATTGTTGTTTTATTAACCAAGTTTTTGACTGGAATGTCATGCCTGAAAAAAATGTGCCTGGATTCAGGGCACCACAAGAAAGCACTCTCAAAACTGATTGAAGCCAGTCAAAAGCCACTTGCAAGAAAAAGCCTGGTACCTTGCTTGATCACGTGGTTCATAACAGTCTTTTCAGTCTGGCCTAGTCAGGGATGCCGCCCAAAAATTAACAGAAAGAGCCGAAAAGATTAGAGAACATTAATCAAATTCATGGGACTACTGGCTAAAGAATATAAATTGGACCACTTTTGAACCTTCACCAACCAGTCTCTCAGGGAAATCATGTTGTTACAACCCCTCACTCCAACCATGAGGAATCTATACAGTGTTCCAGCCAACTACAATCAAAGTCCATCTGCTTATGATCTCAATGACCACCCTCAGCAGGAAGTACAGAAGAAATGACCTCTGACCCTATTCCATAAAATCAAAAGGCTGGAATAGGTCTGATCAAATAATTGACACCCCCTGTCCCATGAAACTGACCTTTAGATCATTTCACAACCAACATTCCCTTTCACTTAGACCACATTCCATTTGCTAAGACCAGTACCTTCCCCTCTGGACTTGCTCAGAATCCGGACCCACCCAGAGAATTCTCCGCTGAGAAAAAGCCTGCCTAGAGTCCTTTAAAATCTCTGACTCCCTGTCCCTGGGTGCTGGTGCCATTTTGGGGCTCAGCACATCTGGTCTCCAGATGACCTAATCTATAATAATAAAAGCTAATTAGACCGGACAGCCGAACGTCCTTCCGGACAAAGCCACGGTGACTGCGAGGGCCAAGGGCAGGCAGCCACTTCGGCCAGCAGCAGCAGCAGCAGCAACGGCGGGGTGACGGGGGCGGCACCTTCCCCTAATTGGCCCAGCCGCCTCCAGCAGAGAGAGGCCAGAGTGCGGCTTAGGACATCCTAAGCCGCCGGTAGGACATCCCCTGAGGGCTCCCGGACTGTGAGAGGGTGCAGGCTGGGCTGAGGGACCCCCTCCAGTGCACGAATTTTCGTGCACCAGGCCTCTAGTAAATTTATAATCCCTTACCACTTTGACCTCATGCGTTCCTCCTTCAGAGACCCTAACACAAATTGTACCTTTCCCTTCCCCTATTCACCCTCTGCTGGAAGCTTTAACAATTAAGAGAATCAAAATAGTAAAACAACAGTGTACATAGCAACTATTAATGTTCCTATAATGTTTTATCAAATTGAGTTTAAAATAAAGGCAAATGGTAATACATTTTAAAATTCATTTTTAAAATACACATCAAACAGATGGAAAAAAACAAGGGCTAACACAGGTTTTGTTTTAGGTTTTTTCCCAAGGCACATCCAGAACCAAAGACACTGGATGCATACTATAGCTGGGATGGCAAACAGAAAAAAGGTGAAGAAGGATAAGAGATAATAAATATTACAACCCAACCCTAACTGGTTTGGCTCAATGGCTAGAGCATCTGCCTGCGAAATGCTCTATCGATTCCGGTCAAGGGCATGTACCTTGGTTGCGGGCACATCCCCAGTTGGAGGTGTGCAGGGAGGCAGCTGATCAATGCTTCTCTCTCATCGTTGTTTCTAACTCTCTATCCCTCTCCCTTCCTCTCTATAAAAAAAATAAATAAAATGTATTAAAAAAATATTACAACCCAGTAAATAAGATATCAGTTCTTCTTTCTAGAACTTTCTGAACATCCCAACCATAATTCCACCTCTAAGGTTCTATTTAAAAAAATCTAAGATGTACAAAAGTGGTTATCATAGTTTTATAATAGTAAAAAACAGGAACAGAAGGAGTTCCAGTCAGGATGACAGCGTAAGAATTAAGAAAAACAAAATCTAGAATAATCTAAATGTCTGGCTAAAAAGGAATGTTTAAATTGTAATACATACTATGATGTATTATGCAGCCCTATGTTTCATTTTCTTTCATGACATGGGGAAATGATCACAATACAATATTAAAGTATACTAAAGATAAAAAAAATAAGCATAGCCCTAGCCAGTTTGGCTCAGTGGATAGAGCGTCAGCCTGCAGACTGAAGGGTCCCAGGATCGATTCCGGTCAAGGGAACATGCCCAGGTTGCAGGCTTGATCCCCAGTGGGGGTTGTGCAGGAGGCAGCCAATTAATGATTCTCTCTCATCATTGATGTTTCTATCTCTCTCTCCCTCATCTTTCCCCTCTGAAATCAATAAAAATATATTTTTAAAAAATAAGCATAGCACATGCACATAAGTGTAAAAAGCACAGAAAAACACACACTCCAAAAAGTTGAAAGAAAATATAACCAAACTTTAACACTGGTTATGACTTGGTGACATGATTTTACTTTATACATTTTATTAAATCTATAATAATAAAAGCGTAATATGCTAATTAGACTGGACAAAGCCAGGGCTGCGAGGGAAGCCCCGGTCCCAGCAGCCGGGGGAAGGAAGGCCTACTCTTGCACAAATTTCGTGCATAGGGCCTCTAGTATCATATAATGATCATATATTAACTCCTATAATCAGAAAAAATTTTTGAATGTGGAAAAATTAACATAGATGTGTTCTTTTTTTTGTTAATCCTCACCAGAGGATATTTTTTCCATTGTTTTTACAAGGTGGAAAATAGAGATGCTGGCCAGTGAAATGGGGAACTCAGAAAAAGCATCAATTCTATTGATGGGAGCTCCAGAGTTGTAAAACCACGAAAGTGAATCATATGTCAGAAATTGCTGGAACTGCCCCCAGGACATTCAGGGAGCCTGTTTTCTCTCACTTGAGTTTGCTCTCTATTCTTTAACCTTTTTCTAAATTACATTGCAGAGGTAACTACTCACCTCTAAAAATAATGTTTTTCTAGAAACAGCTTTCTGACCCTAAGATTTTACCCAGTAGCCAATTTAAAAACTGATCAACCAAATGATCAGGGCTATCCCAAAACTCTGGCTACCTTGCATATTAAACAGGGAAAACAAAATATTTGTCTATTAATTCCAGTATGATATTATACTATATACTAACATATAGTTGGGATTACTTTTATCAGATGACCCAGCATCTCAATGTAATAAGGAGCTCAAATTCATCCACATACAATACTTTGTGAGGCCTATAAAGACAGCTTGTGAGCAGTACAGAAATTAAACCATATTTTCTCTTAAACCATATTTACATCTCTGATGGGCAAGAAGAGGATACAGACTCAAATTCAAATCAAGCAATCATTATTTGTTAAAAACTGTACTAAAGCTACATATGGGAGAAGTTAGAAATTTTAAAAATTTAAATGTTGAAATGAATTCCATTATATACCCTAAATATCACAATTCTCTGTGCTTAAGAACTCTCTGAATTCTATCCTGAGATTTTTAAAAATTCAAATTAACGGTCAAGCAATTACAGTTACAAATTTCTTATATATTCCCTCTACTGATCCAATAAAGTGACCATACATTGTCCCATCTATAAATAGCTATTTATAAGAGAAAAATATAGTGAAAACCACTTCTGAAATTCTTAACATAAAACATTTTTACAGGCCCTAGCCAGTTCTGCTCAGTGGATAGAGCGCTGTCCTGCAGATTGAAGGGTTCTGGGTTCGATTCTAGTCAGGGGCACATGCCTCGGTTGCAGGCTCTATCCCTGGTCCCAGGCAGGGTGTGTGTGTGGAGGGCGACCAGTAGATGTGTCTCTCTCACATCAATGTTTCTGTCTGCCCCGCCCTCCCTTCCACTGTCTTTAAAAATCAATAGAAAAATATCCTTGGGTGAGGATTAACAAAAATAATTTTTTTTTTTACAGGATAACAAAAAGCTTAAAGACACTCTTTCAAAGGACACACTATTCAAGAGGAAGAGACTAGAGCAACCTTAAAAAAACAACAACAGTCCTAGCCAGTTTGGCTCAGTGGATAGAGCGTCAGCCTACAGACCAAAGGGTCCCAGGTTCAATTCCGGCCCAGGGCCCTGGTCGGGACTCACGTAGGAGGCAATTAGTCGATGTTTCTCTCACATCGATGTTTCTCTGTCTTTCCCTCTCTCTTCCACTCTCCCTAAAAATCAATGGAAAAATATTCTCAGGTGAGGATTAGCAACAACAAAAAAGAAGACAACAAAATGTTTTCTTTCCATAGAGAAGAATGGGAATGTATAGAGAAAACAAGGTCAGCATGACTAGGAAGCCTGTGCAAGGTTTCACTGCATAGATCACATGTAGATTAGAGGATGTCAAATCTTCATTTATTCAGATTCTACAAATGACAACTTTACAAGTGATACTATTAAAACTGTGGGGATGCATCAGTTCTCAACCTCTCATTTAAGGAGGAAAGAACTGATGCTCATGAAGCTTCAGTGACTTACCCAGAGTCACACAGCAGAGGTGGGATTCAAACCCATGTCCTCTCTCACTTCTCCTTTCCTGAAAAGGATATTGCTAATAAGTCCTCAGGGGACTAAGTAACTGGCAGAAGAGTTCTGAGGATATAGAAAACATAAAAAAGCCCCTTCTTCCAAGAGCGCCAGAGTAGTAGAAATACTCTGAATTACATGATAATAATATATATACCAATATCATTAGCCAACATAAATGTCACAAATGACTTCTGTGGTAATCTGGAGAAAGTTCAAGTTCAAAGAAAAGGAGAACTAATTCTCTCAACCTTCTATCACATTGATATTAAAGTTAACTCTTCAAGGTCATCAAGAATGTTCTTAGCTCCATGTCACTGCAGCACAGGACTCTATTAAAGGTCCACCTGGGGGTTGCGGCCACTCTTCTAGAAATTCCCAGTTACTACGACCCTATTTTCCTATGGCTTAGGCATTACTTTCTTTCCTCAGTGACCCCTTTTTTCCTTAGCAGTATTTGATCGTATTCTAGGAATTACCTTAGGGAACACTTGCTAAAACATCATGGGATCGCAGAAAGAATACATCTTAGATAAATGATTCAAGTTATGGCACTACTACTGAGAATGGATAAATTACTCAGTCTCTCTGTGGCTTCAGTTTCTCTAACTATAAAATCAGAGTGTTAACTGAAACTATTCATTTTAAAGGGTCGTTGCAAGGATCAAATGAGAATTTGTAAGAGTGCTTTATAAACTGTAAAATGCTCTGGGCCAATTCAACTCTAAGCCCTTAGATTTGAAATGTATCT